GGGTGTGCAACATCAGCATGCGCAAAGGGGCGTGCAAAGGGGCGTGCAACATCAGCATGCGGAAGGCCGCGTGTGCAAAGAGGAAGGGGTGGGCAAAGGGTTTGCATGTGGAAAGGAGCGTGCGGTGGCAAAGGAGCGTGTAAAAGGGCGTACGAGGGACTACGTGTGCAAGGGCTAAAGGGGTGTGCAGCATCAGGACGCGCAAAGGCGCGTGTGAGGGCTGTGTGCGCAAAGGGGAGAGGGTGTGCAAGGGTGTCCGTGTGCAGAGGGGTGCGGAAGGGCCGAGGGGCGTGCAAGGGCTTGTACGCAAAGTGCAAAAGGGCAGGGGCGTGCAAGGCTTTGCCTGTGCAGAGGCGCGCGCGGAGGCTCTGTGCGTGCAAAGCCGAGGGGGCGTGCAAAGGTCGCGCGGGCAAGGCTACGCGCCAGGGCCGCGCGTGCGAAAGGGACGAGGCGTGCAAGAGCCAGCAGACGCGAAGCCGCACGCCAAGGGCCAGGCACGCGGCAGGGGCGTGCGTGGGGCGGGCTCCGGGTGCACGGGGGGCGTGCAAGGGGGCGTGCAAGGGGCGCTCACCGATCTTCATCTGGAAGTTGTTGAAGGAGTGCTCGTTGATGTACTTCATCTGCTCCATCAGGTGCATGGCGTAGTCGGCCAGCGCCGCGATGTGGCTCCGGCCCTCCCGGTCGTAGGTGGAGGCGTTCAGCCCCGAGGCCGCCATGTAGGTGCTGCCGATCGTCTTGATCTTCTCCAGCTGACGGTACTTCTGCTCGCTGATGATCTGGGGCGCGGACGGGGAGGCAGCGTCACCCTCACCCTGCCTCTCCAGGGGTCCCGTGCACCCCATCTTCCTGCGCCCTGTCCCTGCATGCCCCACGCGCGCTGCTCCACAGCCTCTCCGGCACCCCGCGCACCCCGGCCCCTGCGCCTCGTCCCCACACATGGTGCTCCACAGCCTCTCCAAGCACCCTGTGCACCCCGTCTTCTTGCACCCCATGCACAGTGCTCCACAACCTCTCTGGGGCCCCATGCACCCCATATCCTGCACCCTTGTCCCTTCGCACCCCATCCCGCGGCTCCACGCGCGCTGCTCCACAGCCTCTCCAGCACCCCGCGCACCCCATCCCCACGCACAGTGCTCAATGGCCTCTCCAGCACCCCGTGCACCCCATCTTCCCGCACCCCATCCCCGTGCACCCCACGCATGCTGCTCCACGGCCTCTCCAGCACCCCACGCACCCCATCCCCGTGCACTTCATCCCTGCGCACCCCATCCTCGCGCATGGTGCTCCACAGCCCCTCCAGCACCCTGTGCCCCCCACGCACGCCGCTCCACGGCCTCTCCAGCACCCCACGCACCCCGTCCCCATATACGCCACCCCACGATCCACCCCATCGCACCGCCCTCCGGCACCTCGTCGAAGTCGGCGATGATCCTCGACGCCCTGGCCTCCAGCTCGACGTAGGACGTAGATCGACGCCCTCGTTGTTGGCCTCCAGCTCGACGTAGAACTCGGAGAAGTTGCTGATGGAGGCGAACATGACGGCCACGCACTCGCAGGACTGGTAGTAGAGCTCGTCGTTGCGACGCTCCCGCGCCAGAAAATGCGCCGCCACATCCTTGGGCAGGATGTTGTGCAGCAGCCGCCGGTTGTACGCCTGCAGCTCCTCCATCTCCTCCTTCTCGCCCGTTGCCTGCATCGCACAGCGCCATGCGGGAGCCGCGCCGGGGCCCCGCCTCCGCCCCGGCCCCGGGGTGCGGGGAGGGGGTCGACCCCGGCCCCTCGCCCTACCTGCAGCTTCCAGAGGAAGTCGAGGCGGGCGGTGGACTCGACCTGCTGCGCGTGCAGGTACAGCGCCAGCGCGAAGACGGCCAGGATGACGGGAGTGATGTACCGCAGGGCCACCTTCCCCTCCGCCGGGCTGCGGGCACCCCCCCGCCCGCTGAGACGGGATGCCGGACGCGTCCGTGCCCACCCAAGGGTTCTCCTAAGATCTACCCAACCCCTAAGATGCGCCCACCCCAGGGATCCCCTAAGATGCGCCCACCCCAGGGACCCCAAACCTGTGCCCAACCCCGTCAGATGCACCCACCCGCACCCACCCCAGGGACCCCAAGGCTGCACCCACCCCATTAAGATGCACCCACCCCAGGGACCCCAAGGCTGCACCCACCCCATTAAGATGCACCCACCCCAGGGACCCCAAGGCTGCACCCACCCCATTAAGATGCACCCACCCCAGGGACCCCAAGGCTGCACCCACCCCATTAAGATGCACCCACCCCAGGGACCCCCTAAGATGCACCCAATCCCCAAAGATGCACCCACCCCAGGGACCTCAAAGCTGCACCCAGCCCCCAAAGCTGCGCCCACCCTCGCAGCACAGACCCCCAAGGGCCTCTCCTGCTGCTGCCCACCCTCACCCCCCTACTCCCATTTCCCTGCTGGTCCCAGTTCCCCACTCACCACTCGCCCTGGGTCCCATTGAAGGGGGGCCTGGGGGGAGAGGAGCCGGGGGTTAGCGGGGTGGGGACGCAGCTCCCAGGGCGGGGACCCCCGGGGCGGGGACACCGGGCACTCACAGGGCATTGGCCACCACCAGCAGGTCGGCGTTGTCGAAGAGGGTGGCCTGGGGCCCCTCCACCAGCACCAGGTAGGTGGCCTCGATGGCCACCATGAGCAGCAGCTTGCCGATGCTGCTGATGTGCAGGAAGACGGAGCAGGCCAGCAGGCTCAGCACCACGCTGTAGTTGAAGTACTGCGGGAGAGACGCCGCGGGGATGCACCAGCACCCCGTGGGGACCCCCTGCCGGCACCCCACACCCACGGGGACCTTGCATCCATGGGGACCCCCTGCCAGCACTCTGCGCCCTCCAGGGGCTCTGCGCCAGCACCCGTGGAGGACCTTGCACCCGGAGGGACCTATACCAGCACCCTGTACTCTTAGGGACACTGCTCCTGCAGCACCCTGTACCCTTGGGGACACCATGCCAGCACCCTTGGGGACACTGCACCTGCAGGGACCCCATGCCAGCACCCTGCATCCTTGAGGACCCCATGCCAGCACCCTGGGGGATACTGTGCCTGCAGGGACCCCATGCCAGCACCCTGCATCCTTGAGGACCCCATGCCAGCACCCTGGGGGATACTGTGCCTGCAGGGACCCCATGCCAGCACCCTGCATCCTTGAGGACCCCATGCCAGCACCCTGGGGGATACTGTGCCTGCAGGGACCCCATGCCAGCACCCTGCATCCTTGAGGACCCCATGCCAGCACCCTGGGGGATACTGTGCCTGCAGGGACCCCATGCCAGCACCCTGCATCCTTGAGGACCCCATGCCAGCACCCTGGGGGATACTGTGCCTGCAGGGACCCCATGCCAGCACCCTGCATCCTTGAGGACCCCATGCCAGCACCCTGGGGGATACTGTGCCTGCAGGGACCCCATGCCAGCACCCTGCATCCTTGAGGACCCCATGCCAGCACCCTGGGGGATACTGTGCCTGCAGGGACCCCATGCCAGCACCCTGCATCCTTGAGGACCCCATGCCAGCACCCTGGGGGATACTGTGCCTGCAGGGACCCCATGCCAGCACCCTGCATCCTTGAGGACCCCATGCCAGCACCCTGGGGGATACTGTGCCTGCAGGGACCCCATGCCAGCACCCTGCATCCTTGAGGACCCCATGCCAGCACCCTGGGGGATACTGTGCCTGCAGGGACCCCATGCCAGCACCCTGCATCCTTGAGGACCCCATGCCAGCACCCTGGGGGATACTGTGCCTGCAGGGACCCCATGCCAGCACCCTGCATCCTTGAGGACCCCATGCCAGCACCCTGGGGGATACTGTGCCTGCAGGGACCCCATGCCAGCACCCTGCATCCTTGAGGACCCCATGCCAGCACCCTGGGGGATACTGTGCCTGCAGGGACCCCATGCCAGCACCCTGCATCCTTGAGGACCCCATGCCAGCACCCTGGGGGATACTGTGCCTGCAGGGACCCCATGCCAGCACCCTGCATCCTTGAGGACCCCATGCCAGCACCCTGGGGGATACTGTGCCTGCAGGGACCCCATGCCAGCACCCTGCATCCTTGAGGACCCCATGCCAGCACCCTGGGGGATACTGTGCCTGCAGGGACCCCATGCCAGCACCCTGTACCCCCAGGGACCCAGTGCCAACATCCATGGGGACACTGTGCCTGCAGGGACCCTGTGCCAGCACCCTGCATCCTCGGGGACCCTGCACCAGTGCCCATGCAGGACCTTGCACCCACAGGGACCTATGCCAGCACCCTGCATCTGTGGGGACCCCATTCCAGTACCCTGGGGGACATGGAACCCATGGCGACCCCCTGCCAGCATCTTGCATCCTCAGGGACCCTGTGCCAGCACCCAAGGAGGACCTCGCACCCGCAGGGACCCATGCTGGCACCCATGCAGGACCCCCTCCCAGTGCCCTGCACCCGTGGGAACCCTGCACCCATGGGTGCCCCGCAGCCGCTCACCTCGGGGAAGTCGCAGGCCAGCCCGTCACGGTGGCAGGGGCCCATGGGAGTCCCCAGGGAGAAGTTGAGGGCCCGGAGCTGGCAGGGTCCCACGGCCTCGGGGGTGACGTTGAGCTCGCGGGCAGCACAGTCCCGCAGGGCCACCCGGCTGCAGGCA